TTTTTTTTTTCAGATTGAATATCATCGAAAGTGTAACAGATAAAAAAAATGTTTCACAATAAAAATTGAATGGCTTCAAGAGTACTTCAGAACTACAATAAAAAAATATTTTTTAAAATTATTTATTTATAATAAAAATTTATTTATACAAAAAAATTTTTTTTTTGTAGTTTTAAAGTACTTTTAATGGCATTCAATTTTCATTCTGCAATTATTTTCTATCTCTTATAGTTTTGACGATATTCAATCTAAAAGAAAAAAAAACCGATTTTTTTCAAGAAAGGATTTCACCCCCTTAATGTGCGACTCAGCATGTATAAAAAAAATATGTGTCTCCTCTTTTTGTCCATAGAACAACATATTAAAAGCTCATTTAAATCGGAGAGATTTACTTGGTTGTGTTCCCTTGTAAGATAGAAGACATTACAAATATAATCAAATGTGTGGCATCAATAAAGTTTGTATTCAGTATGCAAGCTATCGAATTCGCTATCAAATATTCATATATTCATAAATATTCAAGAATTAAAATCAAACCTTTGTTTGCTGAAATAAATGTATAAAAGTATAACCATTTCCAGCAACACCATGACAAATACTATATCCTTTTTTTAGTAGTCCTCGTTCCCATGTTACTTCTCCACATTGTATTGCAGTCTCTAGAAATGTATTGTCTTCGAACACCTATAATTACACCAATAACAGTGAATGGATGTTACTTTAGAGACTTTCACGGATATTTTCTTCAAAGAAGCTATATAGTTTGCAGGTTATTTATCTTTATATACATTATTAAATGCCAACACTTCGTAAACATTTTACTTCATCAGGACGAGAATGCAACCTAATACTAAATCGTTATCGCTGATCAGCGTACATAAAGGAAATTTCCTCCCAAAAAAACGGCTTACAATTAGTATCAGGTTACTTCTCCCTTGATAAAGTGAACTGCAATGATTGATGAAATGACAAAACGCATTTAACGTATCAAAACACAAAAATATCCATAAACCACATAGCTTCTTTGACTGGAAATGGAGTTTATATTTAAATACTTTTACTGAATTAATAAATACTATATAAAATTTATACCTTATAAGCCAAACAAAATAATGCAGACATTCCAGGTGCTCCATGACACCAATGTATTAATTTGTCAGAAAAATTGCCAATTGAAGAAGGAAAATTTCCAGAAGAAAATTGCAATTTCTGGAGATAATACAAAGATGGTTTAATGTAATCATCGATCTGCACCTGCGTTAAATATTGTCGTGCCTAAAGAAAGAAAAAATTTATATTGAGAAAATAAAAATAATAAAATTGTAATATGTTTTCAAGTATTAATAAGATAACAATCAATAAAGAGATTCAAATAATGCATCATTTTCCACAAAATACAACATACCTGCAAGAGCAAATACAATATGCCTGCTAATCCATGAGCAGCACCAATATATTCTGTATCGTGCCAAGAATACATTAAAGGTGATTGGCTACGATTTGAAGTAGCATATGATATTCCAGAATTAATTATACAAGAAACAACCTATAGATAATTTTAATACAAATGAGAATCTTATTTTCTTTTTAATAGCAATAAATGAAGTTAATGCTTTCGTATTTTTTAGTAAGAATCAATTCACACACTCTTACATAAAATTCTTACTTGTTTGATAAGATCTGCTTCTATAGGAGCTGGAAGTATATTTAAATTTAAATAAAGTAAACCAGTTAAATATCCAGCTCTTCCATATAATAATTCATCAGGGACACCACTATGTTTATCCAAAATATAAGTAGATAAAGATTTCAATCTATAAAAAATGAGTTTTTATTTACCCTTGTATAACAGTATTTCTATAAAGTAATTATTTATCAGAGTAAACACATATATAAATTTTAATTTTACTTCTTAAATAAAAAAGCATTTTTAAAGATAAAACAACTAATAAAATAAAATATGATACAGCAAAAATAATAAAATTATTTTCAAATTGATATTAATATTTACTGTTTTCATTGTTGTCAATAATTAGAATTATTTTATATTTAAAATTCATATTATAATATACATTTATCACTCAATATAATTAAGATTCAATATTCAATTTTTTATAAAAATAAAAATTTGAATTCAATTTATAATGACTTATTAAATGCAACCTTAAGATGTCGCGAACTGACCACTGAACCATATTAGCATCTGAAAACATTACTTAAGCCAATATTCATAGTCAGTTCTTATTTCAAAATCTTAAGTAATGTCTTAAGATGCTAATGCGGCCTTCTGATTGGTTCATGACACCTCAAGACAGAACTTAAGACTTCCACCCCCCCCCCCTTCCCTGCTTAGAAGCGCGCAACTTCTACATGAAGCACTTCCACCCTACCTCCTCCCCCTCCCCTCCCGCTACGGTATGTATGACTTTCCATGCAAAGCGTGCGCCCCTATGCGTTACTATATAAAAATAAAAATTATATTAGAAAATAACGTTTTCAAAGAATTTTTGTTTTTAAAGCAGAGAATTTTTGTTCTATATAGTACAATAGAAAAGCGACGTTTTTTTTAACTTTTTTTCTTAATAACTTTTTAACGAATAACGAGCAACGGCTAAAACCTGTTGGAGATTGCTCAGGATCATAACATTGACAACATATGTATGTCAAAGTCAAGGTCATGAGGAAGGCTTCCCTAAACAGGAGAGAGATATTTACTAATTATACTCTAAATATCTTAAAAGCTATAAGAGACCGCTGATTAATTTATAAGGAAAAGTTGATCAGTACTTTCACCTTCATAACATATGTCAAGGTCAAGGTTATCAAAGAAGTACCCCCTAATGTAAAGGTTTACCCACATTTTTTAGTACAGAAATATTAAAAGAATAAAAATTTATAATTTTGCATTTTCAAAAACACATTTGCAATTTAATTATTATAAAACTATTATTAAGTTCTTACTTAAGAATTAATTGTTCTGCTTGTTCTTTCTTTTGTTGTGAGTGAAGTATAACTGCTGCTAATGCTAATGGACCTACAATTCCAGTCAGAAATGTGACTTCATGTCGGCTTTTGAATTCTGTAGCACATCTTTGCAATATTTCTGCTGCCATCTATAAAATTTACCATATCAATATGACATTTGATTTTAAATTAAAAGCATGTTAAAGTTTTATAATTACATTAGTATACTCAGAATCATTATAATATTTTCCATAATGATATAATGTATATGCAATTCCTGCTTGTCCAGTATATACAGAATAGTCATCTCTGTCGAACCATTTTCTTTTATTTTTTTTCAATACTTCTATAAAATTCTTAATTTTTGATGTTAATAATGACTTAAATGCATCATGAATCTAAAAAAATTTATTTTTGTCTATCAAATACCATATGATCACTTATCTATCAAATATCTTTTAATCACTAATAATTTTAAATATTTACTTATTAAATGATAAAATATATATACGAAAAAAATTTTTATACCATATTAGTATCATCCCTGACTATATTACGGCTAACCGCAATGGAATAATCCTCAAATTGATTTTTGTAGTGTCTAGTGGTATCCATTATTAGTGGTATATGAACAAAGTTTTTGTAATTCTTATTCCTCTTCAATACAATAAAATAACGCATATAAATTTTCTCTGAAACCTTATATTAAATTAAAATATGTACAAATTATAATATACTGTCAAAAAAATAAACATTACAATTTATATTATTTTATATTTTATTCTGATTTAAATATATTAAATTATAAAACTATTCACTCATTTCAATATATATAATAAAAAAAGCATAACCGAGAGAAAAACTTTTTTTATTAAATTTAATAGAAGGACCTGGCACAAACCTTATGGAAATTAACAGGGTTGGGTAGTGCCAAGTTAAAAAGCTAAAAGTTAAGTTAAAAAGTTGAAAAGTTAAATAATTTTAACTTAACTTAGTTACATTTTAGACTCTTAACTTTTTAACTTTATTTAGTTACATTTTATCGATAACTA